AAGATATGGAGAGAGACAGACAGATAGGGGGAGACAGTGAGAGAGAGATACAAGGGAGGCAGTTAAGCTGGCCATATATGGATTTAATCTCAGTCAGTTCAGCAGGGACCAGCCAAGAGTTGATCCATGTATGGGCAGGCTGATTGTACCCAAGTCAATCCATCGATTGATTTGGGTATAACCAGCCTGGCAGATTTTTATTGTCAGAGGCTATAGCTGCTAGCAATAATTATTGGTCGGGATGGCTCCCCAGCCTCTCTTCCTGGCTAGGAGGACACAATAGCTCCACAAGAGGCATTCCCCCATCAACAATTTAAATAAACCCCACGGCAATCGCCAAGTCCTGGGAGTGGTGTCATTCCCCCATCACCACTGACTGGTCAAATGTAAATACTTTCAATTTGTATGCTGTCAGGCAGGTCCTTGCACTACATAATAGAAAATCCAAGCGGAGTAATATAACTGCATTCAATAGCTCCAAAAATATGTTATTTGATCCCATGGATCATAAAGAGGTTGGACATGGACACGGTGAACAAATCATGATAAAATTACAAAATTAAAAAACATTCGGCGTCTTCAAATCTGGTTATTTATCGGTAAGCAGGAATCCACATAAGGCAATGAAGTTTCCTAACTACGTGATCATAGATTTCCATATGGTTCCACATAGTATCTGGATAGGGAGAACATTCTTTAAAGATATTCTTTGGTAAACACCACAATAAGCCAAATGTTTTTTTAATTTTGTAATTTTATCATGATTTGTTCACCGTGTCCATGGCCAACCTCTTTATGATCCATGGGATCAAATAACATATTTTTGGAGCTATTGAATGCAGTTATATTACTCCGCTTGGATTTTCAGTTAACCACTATTTGTAGGCAGTGTTGCTCTTGTCATACTGCCATATTTTCTATTATGTATCTTGGGTTATGTATCTATTATGTATCTTGGGTTTATAAATCCACATTTATATTATAAGTGAGAAGGAGATATTATTTTGACATGGATATACGTGTCATATTGGGTGGCTTTTTTCTTTTTGTTCCTTGCACTACATAGTTGAAGGTACATCTAAATAAATTGAATAAGAAAATTGTATAATGTATGGCCAGTTTGAGAGAAAGACACACACACACACACACACTGTAAAAGAGCTGCAATTGCAGCCATATAACCACTTATTGACAGGCTATATATATATATATATATATATATATATATATATATACACATACAGCACTCAGTAAGTGGATAATTAAAGCAGCAGATTAATCATTTTGAAATGACACCAGAGCAATCACTCTCTAAAATGAAATCTAGTCACTGGGTGAGATTTCCTCTAATTTCCCGCAGCATCTTCAGGATAGAAAATCTCCCCCATGGAACATAGGTAGAGGGATTTTGAGACAGAACTCCAGGCAGAATAATACATTATTATATTTAATGTATTTAAAACGCAAGCAGTGTAAGGGCTTGATTTGGAATGTCATATCAGTTACTTGCAATCCCTGCACACCAGAGCTCAGATTGAGGGAGGGGAAAGAAGTATGAGTCAGCCAGCTGTACTGTAGTGTCAGGAGCATGGCAATAGGCGGAGAGAGCAGAGTGACAGTAAGATGAGCTCATCAGTCTTCTGCTTCTCATGTCACTGTCTGAGGTTGGGGGAGGGGCAAGACCTGTGAGTGTTACCTAACTACAGCAGAGAAAAATCAGTTCTCATGCCAAGCCAGACAGGACTGTCCTGTGCAACAGAGTGGTGTAAATCTCAACTGAAAAAAGAAAAGAATGTGCTACTACCCATCCAATGCTCATCACCAGAACTAGACAGGTGCATGATCCACAGTTGCTTATCTGTTCCAGAATTAAATTAATTCAATCCTCACTACCGCCATTGCTTTAAAATCTTCATTTTATTAAATCGAGCACAGTAAAAACATCACGGGTACAAAGGTTGACGCGTTTTGGCTTAACAAGCCTTAGTCATAACTCATACAGACTAACACATACAGACTAAGACTTGTTAAGCCGAAACGCGTCAACCTTTGTACCTGTGATGTTTTTACTGTACTCGATTTAATAAAAGAAAGATTTTAGAGCAATTGCAGTAGTGCAGATCGATTTCATTTAATTCTGGTGTAAATCTCTAGACTGCATGAAGAGAAATATTAATTCTTTGGCAGGTAAAACCTCTCCCACATATGTTTTGCATCTGTGTATTTAGCTGTTTGAATGGAGTTCAGCTTTTTTCCTTCCCAACTATCCAATTTAAACCAGTTCTCTCCTGACATACGCTTTAACCCCTTAACGCTGATCGCACACAAATATGCGGCATTTTGGCATCTGGGCCTTGACGCCGAGCGGCCGCATATTTGCGTGCAATTAGAAATTACATATGTGCTGAAAGCGTGCACCCTGCGCGTTCCTAACACATATGTCTGCGATTCCCGGAAAGGTCCCGATCTCCCCTTTCGATCGGGACCTTTTCCGATCATGTGACCGCCGTGATGGTGAATCACGGCGGTCACATGACCCTAAAACCCTGCCCTGCCTCCTGGCTTCTGAAACTCTTAAAGGACCGGGAGGCGCCGGCACCAAGAGGTTAATATGTAAACCCAATACCTAAAATCTTATACATCTCGTCACTTTTTTCCTTGTGTCTGTGGTCACAAGGACAAATAGAGAGGGTAAATCTTCCCAGTGGAGATACAGGCAGCAATATAAATCTGGCAAAGGAGCCAACCCTTCCTTACTCCGTCCAAAACTAAACAAATTGCTTTTACATACACTTGCATTTAAAAAAAATGTGCACAGCTATTTGTCCTGTGAAACTGCATGTATATTTGTTCTGTGCAAATGGCAAGAAAAACAAAAGTTATTAGGCTTTCTTTCTGCAAATTAAATGTTCTTCATTTATACAGAAAATCTGGAAAATATTATATTACAGCAACTAGATGGCACTGATGATCATAGGAAATAAATACTATTTACCATGACTTTCAGCTCCATCTAGTGGCCATAATGTAGTATGTTCCTGATTCACTCTATGAAGAACATTCAACCCGGAAAGAAAATAGCCTAATAACATTCAATTTTGCCCTCATTGGCACAGAACAAATGTACGATCAATCTCACAGGATTTTTTTTTTTTTTCATAAATACACTTTAAAGTGAACCTGTAGCTTTGCCCTGTCTTGACAGGCAGTAACAGGATGATCTCCCATTATGTACAGAAGCAGATCTGCACGTTGGGCAAAGGAAGGATCATCCAAGGCTCCAACCATATCCATGTGATCAGATCCTTCTATATATATGCCCAAATTTAATATATATAAAGAATACTCCTATCCTCGCTGTTGTATTGCAGAGCAGCAGAACCACTTCCTTGTTTACAACAAAAAAAATATAATCCACGGATGGTGACGAGTCACCTGCCACTTCCCCGACACACAGGCTACGGCCGGACGTGTTATTCCTAGATAATGACTGTTTTGTAGAATAATATTGACACATGACATCCCCACCGGTAAAAACAATCCATAAAACAAGAACAATACATAAACACGAAAACTACAACAGACAACACGTTTAACCCCTTCGCTGCTGGGGCGGGTTGACAGTTCCCTGTTGGCAGTTGGTTCAATAACCTCAAGGGTGCCTCATCACACAATAAAACATACATATTGTAAGCATCGGCGAGATATACGTCAACGATTTAGAGAAAAAAAATAAAACAGCAGCTAATTTTGCAACATTTGGGAAATAATTTGAATTTACCTTTTTCTTATGGAAGCGACAGCTGCCCTGGAAGAGAGCGAATAAAAAAAAAAAGGAATTACATGGCGATCCAAGAGAAATAAATACGATATGGAGGTTAGATCTCGATTAGATGCAGATACTCACAGCAGCGTCACTTGTAAGCTGTTGTTATGATGGTGCTTTCACTTTTAGCTGGATTACAAATCCTGGGGTGGAGATTAGATGTCCCTCCCCTTGTCATTGTCACCACACAGCTTTTTGTCTGACGAGCAGCCAGCAGCATCCTGTGCACGTACAGAGGAACTATATGGCTGAATGTTACCATTAGCTGCTTCCTCTATTATACTGCTACAAAAGAAAAATGAAAGAGCCGATTCATGGTATTAAAGGGTCTGTCCACCCAGAACTAATATTTCAGTGTTTAGTAGGTGCTGAAGAGTTAAACCAGTGCTAATATCTCCCAGGAGCTCTCTTGGGGAGATCTCCCTGGTCTGCCTGCCTTGCTGTGCTCATTATGAAGGGCTCCCACCAGCTCTGTGCTCAGTTCCCAGGTGTGCACATCTGCTGTGACCAACTGAAGGGTTCCCACCATTCCTGTGCTGAGTTCCTAAGTCTGCACACCTGCTGTGTCCATTATGAGGGGTTCCCAATATTCCTGCACCGAGTTCCTGGGTTTCTACACCTGCTGTGTACATTATGAGGGTTCCCAATATTCCTGTGCTGAGTTCCTGGGTTTCTACACCTGCTTTGTCCATTATGAGGGGTTCCCAATATTTCTGCACCGAGTTCCTGGGTTTCTACACCTGCTTTGTCCACTGTGAGGGGTTCTCAATATTCCTGTACTGAGTTCCTAAGTTCTGAACATCTGCTGTATTCATCATGGGGGAATCCCACCATCCCTGCACTGAGTTCCTGGATCTGCACACCTGCTGTGCTCATTATGATGGGTTCCCACATCCCTGCACTGAGTTCCTGGGTCTGCACAGCTGCTGTACCTATTATGAGGGTTTTCACCATCCCTGCGCTGAGTTCCTGGGTCTCAATACCTGATGTGTTCATCATATGGGGTTCCCCCTATCCCTGTGCTGCATTCCTGGATCTGCACACCTGCTGTGCCTATTATGAGAAGTTCACACCATACCTGCGCTGAGTTCCTGGGTCTACACCAGGGGCGGACTGACCATTTGGAAACTCGGGCACTGCCCGAGGGCCCGGGGTCAATAAGGGGCCCCATGAGATGCCCCTGGTACCTTTTTCATAGGCTTTTTTGAGTTTGGGCAAGGACACAGGGGCCCCATGATCCCCTATTGTTCGGGGGCCCCATGAGTTGTCAGTCCGCCCCTGGTCTACACATTTGCTGTGCCAATTATGAGGGTTTCAACCATCACTGTACTGACTTCCTAGTTCTGCATACCTGTTGTCCCCATAATAAGAGGTCCCCATCCTCTCTTCTAAATTTTGGGAGATTTGTGGGCTCACAATAACATCAAGGTGGGTGAGAACACTTGCAGTTGGTGGGCAGTAAAAACAGATCTGCGTATAGTTGTGTTTTTACTGCCTCCACTTAAGCTGCAAAGGCAGAGGACAGGAGTATACACGTCACGCCAAATTCAACCCATTCATACCAACAGGACTGCGCCTCAGCTGCCATCAGGAAGTTGTGGCCCATGGCCTCTCAGTACTATGCAACCTGTAATTAGGCCTCTTCCCATTGTCTGATATCAGGACTCAGTAATGGCAATCTCTCACAGAACCAGTAACCCCCATTTTGGTCAGCTTGCTGGGTCTCTCAGGCAGCTGTGCCCTCTGTGCAGATATGGCAGCCCAATGTCGCTCCAGCACCGCAGTGTACACTCAGGACAGGCAGCTCTCCAACTCTGGAGCCCAGTCTGTGGTCACCTCTTGCTTCCCACGTGAGCTTTTCCTTCCTGCTTCAGCTTTCTGTCCTCCTGGGACTTGTTATCCCATCTAGTCCCTCACCTGATAGAGAATTGTCTCCTGGGGACTCCCTCCCCCATAGTTCTAGGTGACTCCCAGCAGTTTGTTTCCTCTCCCTAGCAATAGGAAGGTTCCTCTTTCAGCAGCCCTCTTGAAGTGTCCTGTATCCTTTCTGTCTTCTCTACTCATCACACAGCCGCTCCTCTGCTCACTGACAGCCAGGGAGAGGGAGAGAATCTGTGTGGGTGGCAGCAGAAGAAGAAATGCAGCAGTGGGCAGGAGCTCTGCAGACCAGGGCTACAATTGGTACCCCTCTCTGGTTTACGGCTATCCCTGCCTCCATTAGAGAAATTTGCCCTCACTTCCTGTCCAGCTGACACTAGTGCTACCAAACAGGAAGTGAGGTCAAATCACTTTTTATAAGCAGAGAAGGGGACGTCTAGAACCCTTGTAAGCTTCAAAATGCTATCTGTATGTAACCAGGTGCTTCCAAGGGGTTACTGACCCACGTTCTGCAGTTATCTGGGTCAAGTCTGCTATCTTTCCTGTGAAACGTTCCAAAGTTGGTTGTACAGGGCCAGATTAATGTAGAAGCACCAACTGGTGGTGATGGGAGGAGACAGGGTGGGAAACTCTGCCCTCACTATACAGTTCATCCAGGTGAGACTGAAAGGGGGCTGTGCAAGAATGTATGAAGGCTGTGTTTGTTATGGTGTATGCTGTTAATGCAGCCCCCAGGGCCACACTGTTCTGCTCTTCTATATTGTGTACAGGGGCCACATACTGCTACGCCCCCCCCCCCCTTGTAACCACTTGCCCTCCAAAGCATTTACCCCCCTTCCTGACCAGGTGAATTTTTGCGAAATGGCGATGCGTTACTTTAACTGACAATTGCGCGGTCATGCAACGCTGTACATAAATAAAATTTATGTCCTTTTATCCCACAAATAGAGCTTTCTTTTGATGGTATTTCATCGCCTGTGCGCTTCTTATTTTTTGCGCTATTAAAAAAAAAAGACTGACAATTTCGTAAAAAAAAATATATTTTTGACTTTTTGCTATAAAACATATCCAGTAAAAATTTTTTAAAATGTAGTCATAAACTTAGGCCAAAATGTATTCTGCGACATGCCTTTGCTAAAAAAAAAATCCCAATACGTGTAAATTAATTGGTTTACATGAAAGTTATAGCACCTACAAATATATATTGGAATTTTTATTCTTATTTCTTTTATACTAGTAATGACAGCGATCAGTGACTTATAGCGGGACTGCGGGACTGCAGGACTGCGTTGGGCATTCTGACACTGGGGGGGGGAACTGACTAACTGCCACTGACACTAATACAGTGATCAGTGGTAATAAAAAGCACCAACACTGTACTAATGACAATGAGCAGGAAGGGGTTAACATCTGGGGCGATCAAAGGGTTAACTGTATGCTGTTTTACATAATGTGCTGTGTGTGTTTTACTAGGGAAACATGCTGCTGTGTATTTCTCTGCTGTGCAGAGAAATGCACAGCAGCATGTTACTGCTGGCAGGAGAGAGACCTGTGTTGTTAACACACAGGTCTCTAACCTGTCACTGTTTCTTGGTGATCACTGGGTGTCGGCAGGGAATCTCCGGCCGGGACCTGGTGATCGACATCTGTAGCCGGCAATGGCGGAAAGCGTGCGTGCCCCCTAACCGGAAATGCAAATCACGTGTGTATATATATGTGTGTGTGATTTTGCGCAGCCCTGCTGCAGTATTTCTGTTATAGGGCAGTGTGGCAGTAGTTAAAGTATGCTGGGGCCTCAGGGGCCACACTGTAGTGCACTTACATTCTGTTTTTGGTCCCTGAGTGCCACACTGCTGCTTTCCTACACTGTATTCTGGGGCACCTAGAGGCCACCTTCTGCTGCTCTTCTGTATCATACCTCTTTTTTTCCACTACTTTCCTTTACATTGGCTTTTGGAATTTACAAATGCAGCAATCTGGAAACACTTTTTGAAAGATAAAAAGTGCATTTTATATACAACTATATAGATCAGACCAAAATGAAAGACAAATGAGGAGGAAAGGGGGACAGATGAACTTTATTCCAAATGAAGGATAGTCCCTCGAAATCAGGGACAGTTGGGAGCTAAGCAGTAATGTGTTTCGGGGCCCAACACTGTGCTGCTCTATTATACTCTATGTTGGGGCCCCTGGGGGCCAACACTGTACTACTCTTCTATGCATTATCTGAGGGTCACTGCCCTACTGACACCGTTCTCTGCCGCACTGACAAAATCTACTTCTCTACTGATACCTTCCACTGCTCTGCTGGCACCATCAACTGCCCCATTGACACCATCTTCTGCCCCACTTATACCATCCACTGCTTTACTGACTCCATCCTCTGTCCCATTGACACTATCCATTGGTTTACTGACACCATCCACTGCTCTACTCAGGGCCATGGATAAGAGGGTACCAGGCAGCTGGGTGAATCGGATGTGGGCACGGAGGGTGATCGGCATGGTGGGGGGGAGGCAATTACTGTAACCGATCGCCTGTATGGCTCTCTTTGCAGTAGCTAAACGCTGGCTTCTTCTCCTCTCCCTCCTCCCCTTACAGCTGCTACAAAGAGCCATACAGGGGATCGTTTACAGTAATTGCCTCCCCCACACCCATTACCCTCCCTGTGCACAATACAATCTCCCCTGCTGCACAGGCCCCCCCCCCCCCATGTGCCCTCACCCTGCAGTGCTGCCAGCTTCCCTCCTTTCCACCGGCAGCTGCAAGGGTCCTTCAGGATGGAGAGTGGGAGAAGGGTCAGGAAAATGTCACATTTACCAGCCCCTTTCTTTTCTGAATGAACACAATTAGTGATTGCTACCAATCACTCACTGTATTTATTTATAACTGAAGCATAGTAAACTGAGTGGTGTGGTTTTTTTTTCGAGGGGGGGGGGGGCCTGTCAGGTTGGCTTTATGGGACTCCGTGGTTTCTAACAGCAGCCTTGGCTCTACTCACACCTTCCAGTGCTCTGCTGACATCAACCTCTGCTCTACTGACACCATCCTCTGCCCTAACACTGTCCACTGCTTTACTGACACCGTCCTCTGCCCTGTTTACAAAGTCCACTGGCCTACTAACACTGTCCACTGCTCTACTAACACCGTCCACTGTTTTATTTAACTATAGCCCTTTAAGCCCCTCCCACTGCTAATGCAATTCAACCACACCCACTATTCAATGCATTACTACTCTCCTTGGGGCACCCAAAGGTGTTCCAGGGTTTTTACAATCCTATAGTGTATGCTACAAAAAAAATTGCTGTGTGCCACTAAAGTGCCTTGAAAGAAAGATGGCAACCCTAGGCTGCGCCCTTCCATCCAAACTCAGGGTGCGCCCTGCACATCGATGCAGGGCTCTTATGGAAGCCAGGGGCTTCTGTAGCATTAGGCCTGCACGGCTGCACCCTTTAACCTCAGAGTGCACGCCGACACATGGCCCTTGTGGAAGCCTTGCAAATCAAATGCCAGGCTTCCCTAGCGTTACACCTGTGCAGTTGAGCCCTTTCAAGTTTGGGTACATGCCAGCACAGGCTCCTGGAACACGCAGGAGGGTGGCCAGAAAGTGGAATACTGGGATATGCCACTCCTCCTGCAGCACCAGGCCCATGATGTCCTTAATTTGGCCCTGGTTGTGTACACTGTGTCCCCAGGCTACCAGAGGGAGAGAGCTTTGTCCAGAAAACCTGGCTAGCAACGTCAACCCCTTAAAGTGTTACCAAAATGGCTCCGATGCGGGTCGTTAAGGTAATTATTGCTGGAGATTTTAATACGGTACTTGACGTCTCCTTGGACTTCTCAAATCCTAGGAGGACCATCTGTCTGGACTTGGAGATATGGTCCCAAGCCTTTGGTTTGACTGAGCTGTGGAGGCTTCAACATCCTAGTGAACGTTACTACTCATGTTTCTCGGCAACTCATAGGTTGGCCTCTCAAATTGACCTTGCATTTGGATCTCGCTTATTATCCGGATAGGTGAGCAAGGTTGCTTACTTACCAGCAGGTATCTCTGATCATTGGAGTTGACGTTGAAGTTGGGAGGCAGGAAACACTCGGGATGTTGGAGGCTGGATCCTAAGTAGATTCGTAATTAAAAGGTTCAGGAGTTGTTATCTGAGTCCTGCTCTCAGTTCTGGGAGGTAAATGACCAATCAACCTCCCCTCTGCTAGTGAGGGATGCTTTTAAAGCTTATACTTGAGGGCAATATATCTCAGCTATTAAAACGGCAAGGAAGGATTTCACCAGCCTTACTTCGGTGCTGGAACTCAAAACATGGTCAATATGGTTTCTAATTTGCAGACTTCCCCACCGAGGTCAACTATGTCAGGTTGGCTGGGGCCCACAGGGAACTGGAACTCCACTTTACGTCTCTGTCCCATGCTGATGCAGCGATTTTTGTGGGCAGATTATTTGAATCTGGTGATAAGAACGGCAAGCTGTTGGCAAATCTGGTGGCTGACTCTCATCAACAGACGATAATTCCCCGACTTTTGTCCTCTACGGATTACCTCCTTTTAGAGCATTCCCATATCCTGCAGGAATTTAGAAGTTATTTTCAGTCACTTTATAGTCCTCGCCCCTCTCCAGATCCCATGGTTTTGGGGGGGGACAGGTGGCGGAGCCTTTCCTTGCCGTGAATGTCGGAAGATGAAGCTGCAGATCTTGATAAAGAAATCACCATCCCTGAAATTGAAGTAGCTATCCATTCATTCCTACCTAATAAAACCCCTGGGCCAGATGGATTGCCTGGGGACTGGTATAAATTACACATTTCAGATCTGGCGCAGCAACTCTATGATCTCTTTAGGGAAAGTTTTGCTCAGGGAGCCCTCCCCCGCTCCATGTATCAGGCCCATATTGTCATGATCCCGAAGCCTGGTAAGGATCCTCTACACTGTTCCTCCTATAGACCTCCTATAGATAGTAGATATCAATATTGAATTATGATTTAAAAATTTTGACCAAAATATAGGGACCAGACTGGGTTTGTCCCTGGGAAATCTACCGATATTAACTTGCGACGCGTTTTGTCGCATATTCAACTCCCTTCGGCAGAGTCATTCTCTCGGGTGATGGTAATGCTTGACGTTGAATGGCGTTTGACTCGGTCGACTGGATTTATATGTCTAAAGTGTTAGAAGTGATAGGATTTGGCCAACATTTTAGCTCCTGGATAGTTATTTTATATAGTGATCGCCAAGCCCAGATTAAATTAGGTGGCGACCTTTCCGACCCCTTCCCTGCGGGTAGGGGACAAGACAGGGATGCCCTCTTTCCCCTGCCCTCTTCGCATTGGTTATGGAGCCTTTAGCTCAGGCCTTGTATTTGTCCCCCAAGGTTCGGGGCATACAGGTGGCCACTATTATCGAGAAAGTGACTCTGTACGCAGATGACTTGGTGTTATTTCTCCATGACCAAGGCCCATCTCTTAAGGCGGCCTTGGCCTTGATTTCCGACTTTTCGCCATTGTCGGGACTGAGGGTCAACTGGGATAAATCTCAAATCCTGGATATAGACAAAGAAGCCAGAACCTTGCTTGACCCTGACATTCCCTTGCAGTGGGCTTCCATAATGAAATACTTGGGTATTATAGTCTCATCGAACCCCTTAGATTTCTGTAAGCTTAATCTATTACCGTTACTCTTGAAGGCGAAACAATGTATGGCAGCGTGGACTAACCTTCCACTCTCCCTCATAGGTAAAATTAACTTAGTCAAAATTAAACTCCTTCCCTCCTTCCTCTATGTACTCCGACATACTCCAGTACAGAAATACTTTGAACCAGGCCTTGAAATTTCCACTCACCTGCTCACCAATGGCGAGTGGAAATCATGGTGGGGGCGAGTGTGTCCCCCAGGGCCATCTTGCTGAGCAGGCTTGGAGCTCAGGCTGGATCTATCATTGGCACTGGGAGCCGTCAGACTGCTCAATAGCTAAGTGCAGTGAAAGCAAAGGAAGGAGTGTGTGCTGTGCTCTCTGCCTCCCCCTAGAGTGCAGTACCCGGATCTGTGAGTGAACAACAAAGTACTGCAACTTTTTATAGGGTGTTTGTGTGTGTGTGTGTGTACATGTATGTGTGTTTGTGTGTGTGTCTGTGTATGCATGTACATGTGTCTGTGTGTATGTACATGTGTGTATCTGTACATGTGTCTGCGTGTATGTACATGTATGTGTGTGTGTACATGTGTCTGTGTGTGTGCATGTACATGTGTGTGTGTGTTTGTGTGTATGTACGTACATGTGTCTGTGTGTACATGTGTCTGTGCGTGTGTATTTCTGTGTATGTACATGTATCTGTGTGTATGCGTGTCTGTACATGCCTGTGTGTGTATACATGTGTCTCTGTGCATGTGTGTACATGTTTCTGTGTGTGTATGTGTGTGTGTGTATGTACATGTCTGTGTGTGTGTACAGGTGTCTCTGTTTGTGTATGTTTTTTGGGGGCGAGTAACTCTTAAGGCCTGGCTAGGGACTTGAAATTTTAAGCCCTGCTTTAAACAATTTGATGCCGCAGTGGTCTCTTTCCTGTGGGGTTCAAAGTAACCAAGATTTAAATTAAGGGTGTTGCAGAGATCCTGGGGGGGGGGATTGGTCTGCTTGGATCTATGTACTTATTACGTTGTGGTGTTGCTTTCTCAAGCTCACAACTGGATAGTGGTTGATGAGACCAATGCCGCTGTAGTATTGGAGGCAGCTTTCATGGGCTCTTATGAAGCCCTTCGTAACCTACTATACAGGGGTCTGACCACAGCATTTCCCATTACAATGGCCATGAGAGTGGTCCTTAAGGCCTGGCGGTTGCAATTTCATATAGAACCCCTAGTTTGGTCGCCTCACACTCCGTTATGGCTGAACCCCTCGTTAAAAGAATTCTCTCTCTTCCCTGACCCTCTGGTTTGGGCATTGAAAAATGTTAAGTATTTACAACAGTTATGTGAGGGAGGCACGCTCAGAACATTTGATTCCTTAAAGGTTCATTATGTTCTTCCCAACTCTTATTTTTTTAGATACATCCAACTATGTCATGCTTTTCAACGGCAGTTTCAGGGTAGTCCACTACAGTTCTTGGAATCAGGGCGTTAATGAATACTATGGGATGATTCCTTGACGAAGCCCCTCTCCTCTATTTACAAGGCCTTGCACCAATCGATTAATGTGGGTCTTGAGCACTTTTTTGCACAATGGTATACAGAGGTGCCTGATTTGGACTCCGAGGATTGGGAGGATATATGGGAGCATCCTGTGCAGCAATTGGTTTCAACCCGGGACCGATTAATTCAGTTCAAAATTCTTTAAAGAATCTATTATACTGCCCAGAGGCTGCACCAGATGTTCCCAGCTCACCCTTCTAGATGTTGGCATTGTCCTGAGGATCCAGCACCATTTTTGCACATCTTCTGGAGCTGCCCTGTTATTCAGAAGTTCTGGGCAGATGTAGTTGACAATATATCCTTTATAACTACCATTTTTGTACCACTGTCTATTGAGGTCTGTCTGTTGGGTTTGGTTCGGGCCTTGGCTATCTCTCGCGTCATGAGAACCTTGATTGGTTTCTTGTGTTTTTATGCTTGTAAAGCGATACTCTTAAAGTGAAAGTCCCCTCATGCCCCCACGTCCAGTTTCTGGAAACATTTGGTTAATACGGTCCTCCCACTATATAAATACACTTATGAATCTAGGGGGTGCCCCGCTGAATTTACTAAGGCGTGGCATATTTGGACTGATTCTAGCGAATCGGTCCCTTCCAGCTCTGATCAAGATTGAGCTATGGATTTTCCATCTCTTGTCGTAGGTTACTTTGCTTGGTGTGGGGTCCCCAACAGTCTTATTTCTGTGGGAATTGTTTTCTGCCATAACTAAGTCCTGTGATATTATCAGGTACGGTTGTCATCTGTTTGTTGTTGTTAAACCTTACTTTGTCCGTTATGTTTTTTTTCTTCCTGTTTTATTTTGTGACTCAATCAAGTCTGGGTATGCCCAATAGGCTTTGTTTTGTATTCTCCACGCATTAATGTACAGCGCTGAGCGAACTGTTGGCGCTATATAAATACTGTATAATAATAATAATAAAAGTCAATAAAGAAAATTTAAAAAAAAAAAAAAAGTGTTACCAAAATCACAACAGTAAAATCAGTCTGTATATGCAGTAAAGTATGCTTGTTATACTCACTGTGGAAACTAAGGGGTTAATCATCTGCAGTGTGTATTGCTAGAGAGTTTTTTTTTTTAATCGGAGAGTGCATGTGATCAGCACAGGGCCAATCAGCACTGTTAAGACAGAAGTCAGGAGTTCTGCATCCTCCTAGAGCAAAATGAAAACTCTTCCTTCAAGCTTTAACATGTGTTCTGCTGGACACTAATAGAAGTCACAAGACTGCTCTAACTGCAGATGAGAAAAGGTATTTATCAGTTTACATATACTAAAATAATTGCACTTCCATGTTGTGCGTACTTTGGGAGACCAGATATAGTGAATGCAGGTTCCTGGGTTTAGTAACACTGTAACGTTGTTGGCAAGGTTTATCCTGCAAAAACTTTTTCCATATCATATATTTTATATATATATATATATATATATATATATATATATATATATTCTATATAAAAAGGTTTTTCCTGCAAAACAAGAAAAAAAAGGTCCAATGCTCCCTACAGATCATTCCTTATAAATAGGGGCCTTGGTGCCCCAAGGAAGAAGAGAGAGTTGCATGGAGAGCTCCCTGCTAAACCACTGCCAATATGTAGGTTGTTATGCTAAATCCCAGGCTGGGGCTAGCCCTAAGGGAATGGGAACCTGGGAACTTGCTGTACTTTAGGGTACCAAGGATAGGCTGATTGCCTTTTAAGTATTAATGCTAATTATGGACTATATGGACTCTTTGCTATCACTTGTGGATTATTTGCCAGTCTTGGACTCTTGCCTTTAATGGACCCTGTAATGAACTCGCTGCTACTACTCGGGTGTGACCACCCTATGGGGATACACTGTGGGGGATTTACAATGGGAGGATTACACTTAGGGGATTCACACTGGAGGGATTGCATTGGTAGCATTACACTTGGGGGATTACACTGTGAGTATTACACTGGGGGAATTACATTGGGGTCATTTTACTTGGAGGATTACACTGGGGGGGTTTACACTGGGGGGGATTACACTTTGGGAGATTTACAGTGGGAGGATTACATTTGGGAGATTCACACTGGAGGGATTACACTGGGGGGATTACATTGGGGTCATTTTACTTGGAGGATTACACTGGGGGGATTTACACTGGGGGGATTTAAACTGGGGAATTACACTGTGGGAGATTTACAGTAGGAGGATTACATTTGGGAGATTCACACATACATTGGGGACATTACACTGTTGGGATTTACTTGGGGTAATTTACACTGAGGGGATTACACTAGGAGGGATTATTATTATTATACAGGATTTATATAGCGCCAACGGTTTGCTCAGTGCTTTACATTATAGTGGGGGACAATACAGTAACAATATAGTTCAATACAAGAGGGAGTTGAAGGCCCTGCTCCTTGGAGTTTACAATCTAGGAGGGAGGGGTGAGTGGTACAATAGGTAAAACTGTTGGCGATGGAGTGGTTGGAAGTTTAGAGGATACCAGTATTAGGAGAGGGCGAGATAGGCTTCCCTGAAGAGATAGGTTTTCAATGATCGCCTAAAGGTAAGTAGAGTAGGTGATAGTCTGATAGAATGGGGTAGGGAGTTCCAGAGGATGGGTGACACCCTGGAGAAGACTTGGAGACGAGCATGGGAGGAGGACATAAGGGAGCTAGAGAGTAGGAGGTCTTGCGAGGAGCGGAGTGTACGGTTTGGGTGATATTTAGAGATAAGATCGGATATGTAAATTGGGGCAGTGTTGTGGATGGCTTTATATGTCGATGTTAGTGTTTTGAGTTTTATTTGTTGGGCAACTGGGAGCCAGTGGAGGGATTGGCAGAGAGGGGTGGCAGATACAGAGCGGTTAGGTAAGGTGAATGAGTCTGGCGGCAGCATTCATGATATACTGGAGTGGGGATAGCCTGTGATGAGGTAGGCCATTGAGGAGGGAGTTACAATAGTCGAGGCGTGATATGACAAGGGAGTGAATAAGTAGCTTAGTAGTGTCCGTGGTTAGGAACGGTCGCATCTTGAAGATGTTGCGGAGGTGAAGTCTACATGATTTTGTCAGCGATTGGATCTGGGGCTGGAATGACAGATGGGAGTCTAGGATTACACCTAGTACCCTGGCATGGGAGGATGGACTGATGATTGTGTTACTGATATTTATGGTGAGGTCAGTGGAGGTGGCCCGGGCAGGGGGGAATACTAGGAGCTCAGTTTTGGAGAGGTTGAGTTTGAGGAAGTGGAGTGACATCCAAGCCGATATGTCACTTAGTAGGCTAGTGATGCGAGTGGAGACTGAAGGGGTAAGGTGAGGGGTAGACAGATAGATTTGCGTGTCATCAGCATAGAGATGGTACTTGAAGCACTGAAGGAGCGCTGCGATAGGTAGGAGGAGAACCAGGAGAGAGCAGAGTCTCTGAGGCCAAGAGAGTGTAGTTTTTTGAGGAGGAGGGGATGGTCAACTAGGGCAGTACACTGGGGGGATTTACACGGGGGGATACATTCTGGGGGCTTTACAGTGGGGGGATTTACACAGGGAAGTTTCACACTGGGGGGAGTGCATTGGGGGCATTACCCTTGGGGATTGCACTGCGGGTATTACACTGTGAGGAATACATTAGGGGGGATTACATTGGGAACATTATGCTGAGAGGATTTATGCTGGGGACGCCTTTTCTCCTGGGTAGATTACACTACGGGGGATGTTAAATCTTGAAAGCACTGATGACTTGGAATACACTTTTCATTTTCATATATTAAGACTATTACAATAAAAGTGGGTGCACTAAAAGACTCGGTGGGATGGCCAGTGGGTGGGCCTTGGGGAATGTTTGGTGGTCAGGACTGGGGAGGGCCAGGCCTAAAGCTGTGTTAGGGGCCCCAAAATTTCTGATGGCTGCCCTGGTGTATGTTTACTGTGGTAGTGAAAGGGGTTACGTGTTTGGCACCTTCATGTTTGGCTGGTTCCTCACATACTGGGGAGTGGCCCACAGCACAGTGCAGCTAGGGACCTGGCCTGGAGATCACAGGAGAGTATGTTATGTAGAGAGAAGTTAGCACATAGTTACAGAGTGAGATTCATTTCCTGTATCTATTAGTAACTGTGGACATGTCACTTGGAGTGAGGTGACAGGTATTGGTGGATACCGGAGCAGGCTCAGTGGTGGTACCGGTTCTTAAATTCTGCACGAATGGGATGGTGTTATCTAACAGTAGTGGTGTCTAGAGTGCTTATTGTTAACAGTACAGTCAGTTAGCCTTGGGTTGCTAGAGGGTTAAAGTGATTCTAAAAGCTTACATTTAAAAAAAAAAAT